CTTTGAAACCTTGCTTTCAGAGGAACAAAATGATGAAGCAAGAGAAGATGTGCTAAACATTTATCTACAGCATGTACCTACATTGCTAGAGCCTTGCGACCAAGAGATGTTATTGAGGTCCATTTCCTTGGAAGAAATTAAGAAAGAGATCTTTAATTTGAGCTTGGATGATAGTGCTCTCAGTGTAGACAGTTTTGAAGGGTCCTTTTACCAAAAATGCTAGAATTATTGTTGATGATCTCTTTAAGGCTTGTAGGGAGTTCATGTTAGGGATATCACTTGTGAGGTCTGTTGCAAGCGCTTTAATTACCCTAATTCCCAAGAAGAATTGAGTATGTCTATTTTCTGATTTCCAGCCTGTCAGTTTATGTAATTTTTGAATAAATTTTTACTTGATCCTCAGAGAAAGGCTGAAAGTGGTTTTGCCAAAGCTTACCTCGGAAGAACAGTGCGTCTTTTTGGCAGTGCTAGACATCATAATGTGTTGTTATCGTAGGATATGTGTCAATTTATCAATGACAAAGTTGTTGGCAACAATGTAGTGCTCAAAGTTAATATAATGAAGGCCTTTGATCTTCTATCATGGAAGTTCTTGGAAGAAGTATTAGAGAAATTTGGCTTTACTTCGCACTTTATTTTGTTAATTTTAAATAATTTACAAACTAGCTAGTTCTCTGTAATAATTAATGGAAGTCCAACTGGATTTGTTAAAGTTTCAAGGGGAATTAAGCAAGGAGACCCTTTGTCGCTATACTTGTTTATATTGGCCACTAGATCCAAGGATCCTTACTTATTCTCAAATATGGTGGATCGGGTTATTGGCACTCCTGTAAGTTCATCTTGCATACAAACTTTGGGGGTGTCCGAAGCAACAACAAGAAGATTGAAAGCATTAGTTGAAAATGGTAAGATTGCTAATTATGGTACGCCCAAAGGATTGTTGGTCATCTCATATCTATATTTTGACGAGGACTTGATAATATTTACAAGGGAGTTGCAGCAGTCCTTACATAAGTTAAATGTTTTTCTCGAAGACTAGGAGAAGGCTTTCGGCCAAAAGATAAATTGGCAAATAGTTTTTTCTTAGTAGCGAAGGAGTGTTATGCAAGTCGAGTAGAAGATATCAAGCTCTTGGCATGCAAAAGGGTGTTTTCCCATTTGTTTACCTTGGATGTAGGCTTTATCATGGTTGGAAAAAAGCATCAAACTTTCAATTTCTGCTCATTCCCTTGGATGCTAAACTATTAAGTTGGAAAAACAAATTGTTTAGTCAAGGATGGAGACTTTTACTTATAACGCATGTGCTTTCAGCCATCCCTATACATCTCTTTGCAGCCGTAGCTTCACCTAAATCTGTGTTGAATGCAATGGAAAAATGATGTCAAAACTTTTTGTGGAGGGGCTCTCAAGATGAACAAACTAAGCACTGGAGATCTTGGCGCCGCATTACTTTTCCATACATGGAAAAGGGTCTAGGTTTGCAAAACTTTGAAGAGATTATTATGGCTTTTCCTGTCAAGTTATGGTGGAAATGGAAGCATCAAACAGCTCTGGAGTATGTTCTTGGCAGCCCTCACAAACTCCTCGAAGATGAAAACTTCTTGGGCAAGAATCACATTGACTATAGAGCTGCATCTCATTCCCAGGTGTTGCTCCGAGTTGGAGATTGGTTTTTCGGTTTGATAATTGGAAGCCTTATGGAGTCATTTGGGACTTACAAAAGGAGAAGCCTCCATTCTCGCATTTGAGCATAAGAGAATTCTATCAAGCTAAAGATTTTTATTTGTCTGAATTGCAGCAATCCCTAAATGTTGGAATAATGGAGTACTTGGCCGGGGCTGATCAATCTTTCTCGCAAGAACGTGACCTTCTGATTTGGCAGTACAGACCAACTGGAGAATTCTTAGTGAAAACAACTTACGAAGCTCTTCGTAGGAGGGGCAATGAAGATGCATTGATGCAGATAATTAGCACAAACTTATACCGCTACGGATGTCGGTTATCAGGGGGAAGCTGCGGAACAAGCTATTAAGCTTCTCCCTTTTCTAAAAGTTTTGAGTTTGTTTGGAACTCATGTTTGGCCTTCAATTTGTTGCATTGTCGCATGCATTCAGATACCATATTCCTTTTTTTTTCTTTTTTGAATGTGAGCATGCTAGGCCTGTTTGGGTACATTTTGCTATGCTTTTCGGAATTGATTTTCAAGTGTTGCAACTTTCTGGGATTTATTTCCAAAAATTGTGAAATAAGGAGAGTTTATTAACCGCAAAGAAAATAGTGATTAAAATTCTTCTATCCATTAACATTTGGGAGATTTGGAAATTCTGAAATAAAATTTTGCATGATAACTCTCATTTTATGCTGCAAGTTGTCGTTAGGAATGTGATCCTATATCTTCTTCACCTTAAGGCTCGCAATGAGTCAGAAAAAGGGGTTTTTCCGCCATATCTTAGGAGTACGGCATTTGAGCATTCTTCGAAGACGAACTTCATTGATAAATTGGAATCCGCCGAATGTAAATCATTTGTATTAAATAGGGATGGTTCATCAGCGTCTAGTTAATCCGCCGAATTGTAAATCTGCCGAATGATTTTAACGTAGCGCGATAACTAGGGGTTTCTAGTTAGTGATTGTTCGCGTCTTTGGTAAGGTACTTATAATTAGTAAATTGGTGCAGTTACGAGGAGTAGTTATTACGTGATTGCCAACCAGTGTCCTTAATGAGTAACTTAACAGAAAAGTGGTAAGATCATTCAGCATATCAGGGAATAAGATGTATATGTAATAGTATCTTTTACATGACGTACATCTTGATTAGTCTTAAGCACTACCAAATCTTTTTCTTCAATTAATGTCGAGTACCATCCCTGCTCGGTACTGCCCTGGTTCTACCAAAAAAAAAAGAAAAAAAATGAATAAAGTTCATAATAACTATATATCTACCATAAGTATATGCTATTATTTTTAAAATACTTACATAGTCAAATAAATAATTTTTACATAAAATCTTATTAACATTCTTATTTTTATTATCATGGTTTTATATATATTATTTTTTAGATAAAATTATAAGTTAAGATCTTTAATCTTAATGATTTCACATTTCAATGTTCTGGCTTCAAATTTCATATTTTTTTCATCCTTCATATTTTGATTTTTATCAAACAAAACAAACTTAATTGGCTCAGTGCTCAGACTTCAGACTTAAGATCTCAATTAAGTTTTATCAAATAGGATTTATATCAAACCACTAATTACATACAATCCAACTCTAATTGTACATATACAAATAGATTAATAGCTACTTACAACAATATTCCATTAACTATGAATTTGCAACAAATCACTACGACTCACTACAGAGATGCTAGCCAATTTCAGACGATAGGCTTTGAAAGCCATTAACACCACATAAATGTCATTAACCGCACACAAACATGAAATAGAAATGGCTTTCAAAGGAAATTCATTACAATCTTCCCCATCACAACACAAAGATAAATATGAGACTATCCCTATAGAATATACCAAACCAAACAAACACTAATGATACTTCTATGGAACCATTAAATTTTCAACAAAACAACCATCATCATCAAAAATACAATAGCATTCCTCATCAACATTGCAACCACCAAAAACAAAAGTGTTCAATTTTATCTTAAAATTGCAGCAAAGACTCTTCCAGTGAGTTTCATCTGTGACTAGTTGATTTTCTTTAAATCCATCAATACTAGCAGCTAACCCTTCGTGCCCTCTAATAAACCATCTTCTTTGCATTCATTAGGCACCAGAGTCCATCGTGACTTCATCAACCTAGACTAACCATCTGTACGAAGGGCATCGAAAGTAATAATGCCCCAAATTGTCGGTTGAATATGACTTCATTCTATAAGCCATATTCCCACATTTCCCACAATATGTGTCCAAATTTTTGCTGAAAACTGTCACACTGCTTCTGGCCACTATATAAGTGAAAATAATCAATTCACAACCGGTATGGAACAGGGTTCAAAAATTGATTGAGAACCGTTTCGGTCAACTCGACTATTTTAAGGAATTGGGGAGGGGTCGAATCGATTGGTTAATGTAAGAAATTGTGAAAATTTGGATTGGGGAACAAGTGTTTCACGAATATGAGAAACTTGTGTATGTGTAGGGTTTCGATTTGATTTTGAAATTAGGGAAGCTCCAAAAGGATAGTTAACGCTACCTTGCCTGAGGACTGTATGCATTCCCAAATCCTGTAGTGAAATTGAGGGGTTCGGATTTCAAAATTTTGCTAAAGAACGCATATTTTTCACTTCAAAAAAACATATTTTAGAATTTGGGAATATTGGATTTTGGGGAGGGCTTTGATTGGATTGTAAAAAATTGTGGATGGTTTCGACTGGATTGTAAGGAAATGGAATTTGATTTGGGTCAGAAGGGAGAAACCAGTGTTGGCAACTGGAAATAGTTGAAGGGATCAAAAGGGTTGTGTAAGAAATTAATTAGGATACATGTACTGAACTGAATAAAGAAAGGGGGAATGATTTTTACCCTTTTTGATTTCAAATTCTTTTCAAAATTTGGCCCGTCAATGTTTCAAGCTCCTCAAAATTAATATTTGTCTGGATAACAAATGTCCCCAAGCAGTAATACACAACAGTCACATGTCCATTACCTTATTGATGGAAACCTAAGGTTTATTAGGGTTCTGTGATGCTTCGAACCTTTGGGGAGGCATTTGTAACGTTTTGAATTTATGACTTTAAACAAAACCAAGTCACAACCTTCTGGATTTTTACTACTAAAAAGGACAAAAAGCAACTATGATCAAAATAGTAACATGGTTTATTATTAATGTCTTACCTCACATACTTTATTAACTTAGTCCAACTGTTACAAGGACAATCAAGCAGTAACTAGGATGAACATAAAAGTGGCATATTATCAACAAAATTCTCATTTTCTAAAACATGTAATTTAGCAAAAATGCCTACAAGAGGAGCAGTGTTCTAAGTGCAAGCTTCAGATTGAATGAAATTGGACCTTTGGTCACTAAATTGGTCATTTTTATCTGGTCCACCAATGATAGCTCCAACAAGGACATTAGGGTTTGGATCTTGTGACTTAAACCATCTCTTATATCCTTCCATATATCCAGTATATCCAATGTTTTTGTCATAACCTTCGATGGATGCACCTCTATGGTGTACTCTTTGTGGGTATTTTGAACCATATCCAACCATGTAACTCATACTAATGGGATTCAACCCCAAAATATAGTCTACTTGAGTTTTTGCAAAAACAAAAATTTCATCCCCCGTCACTAAAACCTGCCCGCACTGCATGTTTCGATTTGTTTCTTTGAGATGATTGGAGTACACCATTAGTAGTAATATTGCAGTTGTGACATATTGCAATGTGTTCCACTCTCTAATGTACAATAACCCACCTGGTGTACGAGGAACATTTGAATTATTGTTGTTTCTGTTTAATTGTGCACAAATATAGTGCTCTGCATTTGAACGGAATTCTTGAAGAACTTTGTTGTGTTCCTCATTGTTCTCCTTAGGCAACTACAACAACCACAACAAGAAACAATGAACAAATATAATGATGACAAAAAGTAAGCTAATTAGAGAAATCACGCATAACTGGCTTTAAAAAATTAACGTAATTTGTTAAAAAGAAGGTTGTAACAATTAAAAATTTTTTCCCATGGAAATAATATTGTTAGATGAAAGAAGGTGCCGTTCATTCGAAGTATCAATAGTGTTTTATGGATTCTTCATCAAAATTCTCACATCTTTATTTGATTTTTTTTTCTTTTTATAGTATGCACTTATGGGATTAAAATGAATAAACGTCTTCACTAAGCCCTCTTAAACAACATGATCAATCATCTTTGATAGAACAAAAGGTTTTAGGGTGAAATAGTACCATTGCAGCTATGACTTGAACACCGGCAAACTTTAGATCCCAAGTAAACTCTCTGATAGCCCAAGTAGTTCCATTAAAAGAGTCACCATTTTCCAAGACATAATTCAAATAATCAACTCTACGAGTGGCCTTGTAGAGCCACAAAGCTGCCCACAACAATTCATCCTTATATCCGCTTGTGGATGCATAATATTCCTTTACAGCCTCAATGCTTTCATCATATTTGCCTCTAAATTTGTCAGCAAACTCAAACAGCTTCATTGAAAAAGCAAGAAAGAAAAAGTGTTTTTTCAAAACATCAAGAAATACATCTTAATATTAGCAACAAAAAAAAAAAGAAAAAAAATGTGTACACTCTCTATTTTGGGTTGAGAAAATGCAATGATGAAATATGTTATTAACCAGATTCCTTTTTTTTTTTTATTTCCATTAATCTTATTCATAGTATCATAACTTTTTTCTTGTTCAAATTGTTTTTCTTTTATGCTATGCATTTCACAACATATGAACACTTTCAATGTAACTATTGACGTCTTTAAGGTAACAAAAACAAAAATCAAATGCAATTTACACTTAATTTATTTATCTGTCTACTTTAATTCTACTTTGTAATATAGATTGAATTTCATAGGATATTGCAAGACTGGAAGATTGTTGACTCTATAGAGTGCAATGTAACACTTTCTATGTTGTCAAAACTTACAACACAATGCAACTAAATTGCATTTGTAATATTTGATAGTAGTTAACCTTAATATGCACTTCCCCTTCTAAACAAATTAGCATTGAGACAACTTTAATTTTCTTTATATCAACGTACAAATTTTTTCCCCATTCTCACAATAGATAAATTAACACGTACATAGAATTTATTAAAAACAAAATAAATATGGATAAAATTATCAATACTAAATCAAACCACGTCTTGAGTGTGTAATGTTTAAAAAAAAAAAACTTTACGTAAACTAATTCAATTGTGTAATGAAGAGCATTTCTTTCATGAAATTGTCATAAATTTTCTTTTTCATTGGCACAATGTTATTTTAGTGAAAATTGAATATGAACTACACAATGAATAAGTGTCTTACATAAGTTTCATTGGCATCTTGAGACTGTAATCTGTCACATGTTATTCTTATTAAAGTAAACTTTATTATTCATTTAACGACAATATTAAATAATTAACTAATACAATAATATATCCACAAGGTCCCACATATTGAGATTGCGTATTCATATTTCCCAAAATAAGTTCAGAAACATTTTAAGTGACAATATAAGTTAGATATTAGCATCATTCCATTTTCTGTCTGGTTACCGATAAAAACTACCAGGTCAACTTTTCGAGTATTGACTTGTCAAAAAGGAAATCTTGTCATTTTATTAAAAAATTAGTTTTTATAATTTATAAATTGTTATACTCCATATTCTCTTTTATGTATGAAAAAAAAAACTTTATTTTATGTTTCAGTTAATTTTTAATACTCTCATTTTCTAATTCTAGCAATTTATAAATTAAATGTAATTCTCCACCAATAACAACAAGAAGTTGTAATTCACTTTTCGTATTCAGTTTCATATAAAATGTGTCTTCATCATAATCAATCAACACTCATATCTTCCCCCATTTTCTTTTGGTTAAACTCTTACGTTCATTCAAGTTTAAATAATTCTAGTAATCTTTCATGGTTTCTTCTGAAACCATTTTTGCTCCATTTAGATTAAAATAACAAAAAGAGAAAAGCAGGAAGTCATCAATTAATTTCATAAAATCTAACCTGTTGGGCATGCTCCAAGAGAAGGTGGGAATAGTGTGGATTATTTTTCTTAAAGGCAATTGATGCTGCTGCCGTTGCTGCAGCAGTTTCTCCGGCAACCTCTGAGCCGGGATGTTCCTCATCAATCTTGTAAGCTGGTCGGGAAGTTCTCAATCCTCCGGTCGTTGCCAGCATTTATGATCAGATTCACCATCACCCACCTAAAAGTATTTGAATTATATCAAACTCAAATCTAATTTACATTTCTCTAACTATTCTGGACATGCAAAGACATAAAGTAGTTCACAAAGTCATGCATGCTAAAAATAGACAAAAATATTTATGAACAAATTGGAAATAAATAATTACAATACTAATAGTCTTCCTTTATGTATCTAAAAGTTTGCTCTTGTGATTTATTTTTCTTTGTTTCAAATAAATATTCCTATTTGACAATTCTTTTGTTACACACACACACATGTATATATATATATATATATATATATATTTCTTTTCTTTTTGTTCTACTTTCAACACTTTTTTTGATATTATAATACGTAATTTTATGGTTAGAACATAAAACACATACTTTAATAAATTATGGTAGATATTTTTTTGAAAGAAAAATGGAAACATTAAATAGTAACAAGAAAAGATCTTTTGGACGAAAGAAACATAAAAAAGAGTAAACAAAATGAGTTTACCTGACCCCGTAGGACATTAGGCTCAGGATGTGCTTTGATGAAGTAATCAGTTGCCCATTTGATAGCATCAAGAGCATTTTGAAATTCACCACCAGCAGTTGCTTGTTCTTGATACTGCAGAACACTCCAAGACAACATTGTAATGGTAAATGCCATTGGAAGACCAAACTTTATGTTGTCACCTGCATCATAGTATCCTCCTACCAAGTCCACCTGTTTAACCATAGAAAAGGAAATATTATTTTCTTGGGACAAAAATTGTTTGATTGAGATCTGACTCCGTATTCTCGATATTAAAATTTAATAATAAATACTAATATCTAACGAATTATCCTGAATGATGTCTCCATTTAACTCTTTGATTGTATGGTAAATGACCAGAACGTTGTGCTTCGAAATACAGAATACTTTTAAAAAGTGCTTCTCCATAGTTTAAAGATTGAATAAAAGGCAAAACAGAGATGGAGAATATTAGAATGATCCAATATGAAACAGATATTAGAGAATTCTCCATCTCCTCTTACTGTATTTCTTTAATTTCTTTTTCTTATACTCTACGTCTCAAAACAAAAAATATATGTTTCCTTTGTATGTTATACACCTGATTTTATAATGTCTTTATAGTAACGATTTCCTACACTTTTAAGTGTGCGAAATGTTAAGTAGAGATATTAATAACTTTGAAATGAAAAGGGAGTAAATAATAAGAAAGGAAAATGAAAACAAGGTTTAAAAAGTTTGAATATTATCCTTTGTAATCCATATGGATTTTTTTATAGCAAATTGAGAAATATAATGGATATTATATTAAAATCTTAACATAAATGATAGAAAATCTGAAAATTGACCCAAATGATCAAAGGAAAAAAAATTAAATGTTCGTAAAACACTAGAAAACCTCCCACGTTATGACTCTTTATGTTAAGATACAATATCTAAATGTCATAAAAGATATGCAATTAGGACTTTTTCTTTTCTTGTTGCTGCTCATATGGGAATTTTATTACTAAGATAAAACACTTCAAAAAAATATGTCAGAAAGGTACTATTGAGACACTTGTCAAACTTTTCATTTCAGTAATTAATTTACTACTATATAAATCGTACTAGTATCGGCTCATCGTGCCTTGCGTAACGGACGCCCGATGTTTCGTCAGTCGATACTCATATATTTGAGGACTAATTGAAAACTAATTATGTTTGTTTAGTTGGTAAGATATGGAGGAATTTTAATAATTTCTTGACTCGGATATTAGAGAAGAAACAAAATCCTTAAAATATTTTAATTTAGTCATGTTTATTATTAGGAATATTTGGGTAAATTTTGTTCCCGGAAAACAGAAGGAACAAAGTTTGTAAGAGGGAAAAAAAAATATATCCAATTTTAAATTTGTAAGATAGATTAAAAGAGATAACTTAAATAATTTAGTTGTTATTGGATAATGTATGGAATAATTTCCAAAGGTTTGTTTTTAAAATTTTGAAAATTAAAGTAAATAAATTAGCTGATGTGATAAGATGATATGTACACTTTGTAAACACATTTAGTTTTAATTATCAAGCACCACATGCCATAATATTACTTCTTAACTTTGGTTTTCTTAACTTCTGTCCCAATTCAATAGACTTATATCAATTTTTACACAGATTAATAAAACTCACTTAACTAACAACTTTTACCTTAAACTTCCTGAAATGCCCATATTAATGCATTAATAAATTTGGTGAATTAAGACTTTAATTTAATTTGTTCTTGAAAATTGTTAAACCAACACCACTCATTAATTCAAAATTCAAAATATTTCATCTCAATTCATTGGGAAAAAAAATTATTATCTCATTCCATTTATTCCAATGCTTTCAATAATGTTTAAATGGTTAGTTGAATTAAAGGTACATTTGGAACTTCACTAGAAAAATAAATCCTATATATGAAAATCGGCCTACTCAGTAAGATACCCTAAAATAAAAAGCTAGCGTATTAAAGTGGGATAGACAGTATGAATTAAGAAATCTTGGGGTATATGGATATATAATTAAAAAAATAAAAAAATTCACCTCTTAAATCCAAATCTTGATGTAAAATATATATTGTCTACTCCCTCTATTCCAAAATTATTGTCCAATTTGAGATTTCACTTTTAGTACAATTTGAACTATAAATGAACTACATGTTCCTTGCTCTTCTGAAATCACTTATGGACAAAGTAAAGCACATCAACAATTTTTCTCCGTAGTAATCACACATTTATCATCATCAACAGGATTGCTAAAGTAAATTGAAACGAATGATGGGTTCACCCTAACATAAATAGGAATGGAAAATGTGCTTAAGTAAATTTCTCATTTTTTTGCTATATTTGTTTTATGAATTAGCTGAGAAGTGAATAATCCATTAATGGAAGGGGATGTCTCGATTTATGGCAGCCATATACTTGGAGATGTAATTTATTTGTGCTTGATTTGCTTAAATCCATCTTCATTTTGATTTTGAGTCCGAGAACATTGCTTAAATGTGAACTCTGCACTTTGTATTGGCTTTAAAAGCACAGAAGAAAGCCATGCTGGAAGCACTTGAGAAGATAAAATCTGGTAAGTACATCTTCCTGGAAACAATTAGAATTATTGCTGTTTAATTTGTATTGTTTGATCTTGAAATACCAATACTGTTTAATATGTGGTCAAGATTGCATTTTCCTACAAAGCTGGAAACACCATTCCTCCATGTAAAGAGCTGGATGACAAGGGAAGAGACGGCGACAAACGCAATAAAGGAAATGGAGGTGGTGATGGGAGGAAATGATTATAGTTTATTGGAGCGCGCCGAGTGTTTGCTGCTGGGATTATATCCAAAGTTTTTACAAAACTTTTTATTATGAAAACCCCAGGAAAAAGCATACTTGGTTCATAAAAATATGCTCCCATGTGTATTCTTCTCCCATACCCAACTGGTTTATTCAGTGGTGGGCGTTATATGGCCCAACAGCAAAAATTTTGCCAGATAATTTTTCGAAATTATATTATCAATGGTTAAAATCCTCTCCTATCATTGATAAACTTCAACACAGTCATATCTGTGCTCCAGGGAAAATCACTCTGTTATACTTCTTTATTGAATTCTCAATTCCTTGGATTTATAAATGGGTCCCTGAGGTGGGATTCAATGAATTTCAAATTCCGTGTCTTTATAAGACATATTACACCAAATTTTGGGACAAATTAACAAAGGTGAATCACAATACCAAAAGAATAGAAGGACAAGATTTGCTGGACGAAATTGCCCAGAAAATCAAGGAATATACTCAAGAAAAAGGACAGCTCAAAGCAAACCCAGATGAAGAAAGTCCGTTTAAACATATCACAAAACGGATTCAGCTTCAGCAAGGAGCAATTAATAAGGAAGAAATAATATCTGCCTATATGAAAGAAGTTAAAGCAGATCTCATGAGAAATTTAAAGAATCTCGACAATGATAATATTTCAGAAAAATCAGATGTTTCGATGAAGAGCATAACTTCAAATGAAGAAAATTCGTTTGCAATATTGGCTGGAGAATCTCAGTCACCAGAAAAAGATGACGATCACGATGAATTCATCAAAAATCTGTTACAACAGATCCAAGAATCAGCTCAATCAGCAAAAGGAAAAGAAAAAGAATGAAGTGACAAAAGTAGGAATCTACTTTTGAAATTTTGACAAAAGTAGGAATCCACTTTTGAAAATTTTGTACAAATAGACCACCACCTTCAGTCAAATCTGAAGAAAACCATGTCAAATAATGACAAAAGTTAATAATTTTTGTACAATAGTAGTTTTAACTTTTGTAGAATAGTAGTTAGGCACTTTGTCTATAAATAGAATGTAGAAGTTCTTGTGGAGAGCAGCATTCTCTCCAAGTATTCTCTCATTTCTTCTCCCTTTATCCCGAAATTCTCTCTCTCCCTTGTAAAAACATCATTCAATAAATATATCTTTCAAGTTTGAAGCATAGAAGAAGCCTTTAAAGGTAATATTTTCCTTTAAGTTAGTTTTAATTTATAGTTTGAAGTACTCAGACAATGTCTGAGTAAATCCTTTGTCTGAATCAAACATTTGGCTTTTGTTTACATAAATTATACATGGAAGCTCTATCTCCTTCTTCTCTTTTAATTAAAATACGATGATTTGAGATTGGTTCCAATCCCGAGTTCAGTCGGAAAACTCAACAATAAGTGCATTGGGCTGGAAAAGTACCCGCTATGATGAATTGTTTTAGGGGAAAAGAGGCCACATGATGCACAATAAGTTGTGAATTCCAGACAGGCTTGAGAGTTGGGTGAAACTTTTCCATGCATCTCGATTATTGATATTTTAATTAAGGATGGATAGAGATTTTGATCCTGTAGCTGGCTGACAAAGCATAGCTCCCGGATGAACGGTATCAGCCAGGGTGGTGGTTTGGATTCCGGCCTGGTTTCCTTGCTAGTCTGTTTTCCTGGTCTTACCGGCTAAGATAAGCACTGGCCAGGCCCCAACCCCACGCCAAATTGGTATCAGAGCGGTTATGTATTTTTTATGTTTACAAAAGATTTGTTTGATTCAGAACCTAATTTAAAATGAATAATTTAGAAAGTACTTCAATAAAAAATTCAGTTCAAGAGGAATATGATATGCCTCAACAGCTTGCTCTTCTTAATAAGTGGTCAATACCAAAGGTACCCACTAATACTTTGTATGAATATGGTATGTTTGATCGATACTTGGTTAAACAGGTAGTTAAAACTACTGAACAATCAATTGCTTTAAATTCTGAGGAAAGGATTTTACAACTTTTATCTGCTACAGATATTGAATCTTATAGATCTCATAAAAATTATAAATTCATGCATATTGGATTGGTGCAAATTGCATTTAAACCTTTAACTTTAGAAGGTTTGCCTGAATCTTTTATTGCTGCCTTACGTGATGGTAGAAATTTACATTGGAAAAAATCCCTAATGGGCATAATACAGTCCAGCCTAGCTCATGGTCCAGTTTATTTTAATGTCTACCCAAATTTACAGCTATCATTGTCGATGTTAATATACTCGATGCTTTAACCTTAAATGTGAAATTACATGGTTACAATTATTTACCAGAAGTGAACTTATTTGTTTACATTACCGTATTTGTTTTAAATTATTAAATACCTTAACACCCGGATGTAAGATTATAAGTAAACCATCGATGAAACCATACTAATAGAAATTAATTTTTATAAATCTCAAATTAGTACCCGTAAAACTATAAAATGGGAAGAAATTGAATTTCCGAGTCTTGGCAAATTAATAAAGGAATTAAAGGAAACTCATTAACTCATAATATTACAAGTTGTAATGTTACGAAATTGAGCAATCGATAATGGTCGATAAGTATTACTTTGATAAACCAAAATTCCTAAATTACTAAGATCCAGCTCTCTAAGATCTTTTAAATCTTATATAGATCCAGTCGATTCTCATAAATTTTCGACATCTTCGATTCCTGAAATAGATC